TAGCCGCCTTCGTCCACGTGTGCCTCTCACCTCACAGCAGCTGCAGGACCAGTACGGTCGCCGTCAGGGTCGCGCTGCTGGAGCCCGGGGCTCTACTGCTGGAGTCGCTGGTTCCGGAGGTGCTCGTCCTGGGGGTACTGGAGCTGCTGGGGCTTGGGGTGCTGGTTCTGGGGGTGCTGCTGCTGGAGACACTGAGGTTGGAGACCCTGGGACTGGAGGTGTCGGTTCTGGGACTGGAGCTGCTGGAGGTGCTGGAGCTGCTGGAGGTACTGGAGCTGCTGGAGCTGCCGGTACTGGCGCAGCTGCGCCGACACGACTGTTCTTCGCTCCGCCGTCTCCGTCGTCTCTGCCGCCGTCTGACTCTGCTCTTCGTCAGGTTCTTACTCTCCCGTCGTCTACTGGTCTTCCGTTACAGCCTGGCTCACCGCTGCCTGCTCCTTCTCCTTACACTGAGCAGACTGGTAGTCCTGCTGAGCGTCGTGAGCCTGCGTTGCGTCCTGTCTCGCCTGCTCGTCCTGGTCGTACCGGTCGTCGTGTTCCTCGTTCGCGTCAGCCGGCTGTCCCCAGCGCACACCTCGTAGTCCGTCGTCCTTCCTCTGCTCTGCAGCCTGTTCCTCTGCCGTCTCCTCCTGCGTCCTCTCTACCTGACGTTCCAGACCCTGAGTCTGACCGGTTTTGTGCTGAGCACCCTACTGTCACGCGTCTGCTAGCCACTGTTGTCACTGACCCGTCGTTTGAGTCTACTGCTGCGTCTGCCTTAGTCGCTGAGCTTGTTGACTTTGCTGCTGCCTGTCGTCTAGACTTCGCTGCCAGTCTTGTTGCTGAGTCTGAGTCTGTCTGTCCTCCGTCCGTCGGGGGTGAGTGTGCTCTTAGCACGGACGTCCTTGAGGACAGGCACGAGGACCTTGAGTGTCTTGCGGCTGCTGCGCCTCATCTCGTGGCCATGCTGCTTGCCCCTGAGGGAGACCCGGATGCACCAGACATCCCGACCCCGCGCTCTTACGCTGAGGCGATGGCGGGTGAGTACTCCTCTCAGTGGCAGACAGCCATGGACGCAGAGATGGCATCCTGGAAGTCCACAGGCACTTACGTCGATGAGGTTCCCCCTCCTGGGGCGAACATCGTCGATGGCATGTGGATTTTCAGGGTGAAGCGGCCGCCGGGTTCTCCGCCTGTCTTCAAGGCTCGTTACGTTGCTCGAGGCTTCAGTCAGCGAGAGGGAGTTGACTTCTTCCAGACCTTCTCCCCTACCCCGAAGATGACTACTCTTCGGGTGCTGCTGCACGTTGCCGCTCACCGTGACTACGAGCTTCACTCTCTTGACTTCAGCACAGCTTTCTTACAGGGCAGCCTGCACGAGGAGATCTGGCTGCGCCGCCCACCTGGCTTCACTGGGTCGTTCCCTCCTGGTACCCAGTGGAGCCTCCGGCGGCCAGTCTACGGTCTCCGCCAGGCGCCACGTGAGTGGCACGACACACTGAGGACGACACTGGCGGCTCTTGGGTTCGCTCCTTCGACAGCTGACCCGTCGCTGTTCCTGCGCACCGACACTTCGCTGCCACCGTTCTACATCCTCGTGTACGTAGACGACTTAGTCTTTGCCACTGCTGACACTGAGGCTCTCGCCTTGGTGAAGTCGGAGCTGTAGAAGAGACACACGTGCACAGACCTGGGTGAGCTGCGCAGTTACCTTGGCTTGCAGATCACTCGGGACAGAGCACGCCGCACCATCACACTGACTCAGTCACACATGGTGCAGCAGGTCCTTCAGCGCTTCGGCTTCACCTGGTCCTCGCCACAGCACACTCCTCTGGCTACAGGTCACTCGCTCTCAGCTCCACCTTCGGACGAGTCCGTAGAGCCGAGTGGTCCTTACCCAGAGCTAGTGGGCTGCCTCATGTACCTGATGACCTGCACTCGTCCTGACCTTGCGTACCCTCTTGGCCTTCTCGCTCGCTACGTGGCTCCTGGTAGGCACCGACCAGAGCACATGGCTGCTGCTAAGAGGGTACTGCGCTACTTGTGCAGTACATCGGGCATGGGGCTCGTGCTTGGAGGACGGAGTGAGGTGGTCCTCACTGGGCACTCAGACGCGTCTTGGGTTGACGACCAGGCTACACAGCGGTCGTCACAGGGTTACACCTTCAGCCTTGGCTCTGGCTCTGTTTCTTGGCGGTCTACACGCTCGTCTTCTGTTCTCAGCTCCAGTTGTGAGGCTGAGATCTACGCCACCGCCATGGCTGCACAGGAGCTACGCTGGCTCACCTACCTGCTGACTGACTTGGGTGAGCGGCCTCGTTCTCCTCCAGTGCTGTACGTTGACAACAAGGCGGCCATTGCCTTGTGTGAGGAGCACAGACTGGAGCACAGAACGAAGCACATTGCTCTGCGTTACTTCCTGGCTCGAGAGTTGCAGCAGCGAGGCCAGCTTCGTCTTCGTCACGTGGCCACTCGGGCCAACACTGCTGATATATTCACCAAGGCACTTCCGTCTGGTGATCATCAGCGCTTTTGTACTCTGTTAGGCCTTGTACCTACGTTTCCACACTTGCTGTAGTCTCTGCTTGTACTGTGATATATATATATATATATATATATATATATATATATATATATATATATATATATATATATATATATATATATATATATATATATATATATATATATATATATATATATATATATATATATACCTGCATGCTGGCTCTTGCTAGGTAGCCATCACTGTACTGTTATTGCTGCATATATATCTCTGCATGTGAACTGGCCTTGTGGCCATTTGCTTGTGCTCAGAATGTGTGGTGACGTTGTGATCCACCCTGAGCTTGTTTTGCTTCTCTTGACTGGTCTTGTGACCCGTTGCTCTCCCCCACTTTGCCTATGGGGGTGTGTCAAATGATATATATGTGTGATATATATTGGTAGGCTGTAGTGGGGTAGATGTTATAGGGGATAACACTTTAGGGTTGTGTTTCTTGTACCAAACTCTCTCGTCAATCGAACCAACCTTGCCTAGCTATCTCGACACTTGTCGGGGTAAAGATTCGCCCTGTCAGGGTAGAGATTCGCCCTGTCAGGGCACAGATTCGCCATGTCACTGTCCGAAATCGCGCTATTAATGTTTCTGTTTCAGTTTCAGAAAAATCTGGAAACACGTTTCTAATGGATCAGATGAAATCAAAAAACCATTTCTGATCGATCAGACAAAATATAAACCCAAATTCTAAAAAACAATCAGATTTGCACAAAAAAACAGTCATCTGTAACTCAGAAAAACAGACATCCACTTGGAATATGACCATTTTCACTTGCGCTTTCTTAGATTCGCACTTGTCTAGGATGTGGGGGGGGGGGGGGGTCTTATAATGTTAGGAGCCATTTAGGGGGGTACAACTCAGATGTACTCGAATAAAGTATCCGGGTCCGTATTATAGACCCGGGGGTCTACAACTGGGGGGGGGTCCTATATACGGGGGATTACGGTAGCAAGCCATAAAGGGGTTTACTCACTATTGAGTACCCCACTACAGACTAGACAAGCATTATAATCTGACAATACGTTACGACATGCCATCTCATATAGTGCCTTCAATAGCACAACTCAACCTAAGCTACAATATGCGCATGTGTGCATGTGTGTGTGGCTCACATGAACAACAGCACCTGCAACAGAAATATAAGTGGTGGTGATGCACTTGAAATCAGACTCGGTTAATAAGGCCAACCATAGGTACAAATTTATAATTTATAATCAATGCAAACAATGGATTTCTCTAGGAACAAAAGTTTAGCTACGCTCTGGTCACAAGAAATACGGTACCGGTAAGCTCCCTCCCAAGCTGCAGCTATAGTAGCTAACTCACAAACATCTAACACAGGAAAACTCCATTACAGACTAGTTTCGCTCCTCGCAAGCATATGCCACCTCCTAACATGCCTACTTTTCACTCTGCAGCAAACCCCACTGGGCAGCTGAATCCCCATACCACTCCTTAGCCATCCCTATTGAAACTTGAAAACGGGTTTACCAACATAAAGAACCGTCTTGCCTGCCATCGCATTGAAGCAGGCCGCACCAGAAGCATACCAGGCTGGAATAAGAAGCACAAAGAGAGTGAAAGGTTCGGAGGGGGGAGAGCATCAGAGAGAGTAGACAGAATGAATGACACACAGCAACAAGCCAGACTCAAGGTTTTGCGGAATGAAGTGATGCAGCCAACGCCACTACATAATTCGGAATCTCCCTCACCAGCAATGGCAGTGAAGAGGCCAAAGAAGCCGCCAGCCTTGATCCACCCCTGCCCAGCGTGCTGGTGGTTGAAATTCCCGATGAAGAGCAGCCCCAGGGTGATCTCGAGCAGGGTGAAGACGAGCAGCACGGCATGGTTGGCCATGAGCGCGCATACAGTCATGTAGCTGTTGAAGATGAAGAAACCCGACAGGAACCAGCCTAGAGCGTCTGACACGTCCGTGGCTTGGAGCAGCGTGGTCTGCAGTAACAAATGTGACAGTGAGAAGACGCAACCCTGATGTGAGAGGAGCAGCGGCAAGAATTACTATCAACCCTGTTCACACAGAGTAAATAGGAGACGTGGAAACTTCCAATTTGGTCCCGAGTGCATTCGAAACTGTCACAGAACAAGGACGAATTCGGCTGGTACTTACGTAACCGAGAATCTTGAGGAGAACGAAGAAGGCCAGGCCCATCCAGAAGGCACCGTAGGTAGAAAACGCAGTGGCGCCAAAGGTGTTGTTCTTCTTAAACTCCCACATGCCGGCCAGCAGCTGCGCAAGGCCGCCATAGAAGAACGCGAGGCCGACCCAGATAATGTCGGGAGCCCAGCCGGCGTTGTGGCACGAGAGGACGTACGTCGTCAGGGCGAACGCGGCGAGTCCTAGAGGCGCAGGGTCCGCGATGGCGCTCTTCTCGACGACCACGCGAGCGTCCTCCTTGATATCCATGTCGATGGATGATGCTTCGATGTAGACCTTCGAATTCATTCACGTCTGAAGCCGAGGTGGTCAAATCGCGCGGAGCGACCTGAGAAGACGGAAAAGACGAAGGATGGATGAGTTGGCAGCAGAATGCGGGGTAAAACGGATCGCTAGCTGGATGTGGAGATTTTAGGGTGCGGATGACGACGCGTACCTGAGAAAAGCCGACCAATTGAGGAGGTTGCTGACAAGGTCGAACTAGTAGCAGCCAGGAGCCGAAGTTCAAAGAACAACGGCGGGAAGGGCTGTAACTGCAGCTTCGAGAAACGGAATGGTGGATTGCTCTCGGTATGTCACTTGAGAGAATGAGTCACTCGATTGCTAAGCGGACCTTTATACCGTCGCATGCCTACACTGCTTATCCGCCTCCCAGCCATCGCGGCTCGCCTGGGAGGGACAGTAAGCCGGCCGTTAGAGTCACCACCAAGCGATGCGCTGCGGATGTCCATGTCAGCGTCAGCTAGCGCGAAGCGCAAAGCTCGACCGTGGCAATATGAGCTCCAAGTGGTTGCTGAGATTGATTTAAAGAAAAGGCGAAGCCGTGCTGTCACGCAACGCTTCAGTGCCCGTGACGTGGCGATGCGATTTCAGGATAAAGGGGACGGCGCACCGCTGTTGATCTGTTTTAGGTTACTGATGACGTGAAAACACGTGCGATGTCACTCAGAGGGAGGCTATATAGCGAAACGTCGTCGGTTGGCTGGTGGCGGCATCTGAAATCGAAAAGTTTTCGTTTACTAGGTGGCGCATTGGCGGGTGCTGGTATCTGAAATCTTGATAACATAATCTTACGTCTACACTGCCTATCCACCCAGTTGTCAGTGGCTGGGAGGGAGAGCAAGCCGGCCGTTAGGCTCGCCACCAAGCGATGCGCTGCGGATGTCCATGTCAGCGTCAGCTAGCGCTAGGGCAAGCCTCGACCATGACAAAACGAGCTCCAATTGGCTGTTGAGTTGAGCTTTAGGAAATTGCGAAGCCGTGCTGTCACGCGACGCTTCAGTGCCCCTGACGTGGCGATGCGATTTGCGGGCAAAGGGGACGACGAACCGCTGTTGACCTGTTCTGGGCAACTGTTGACGTGAGACACGTGCGATATCACGTTTGAGTGTAACTGTTCTTTTAGGAGGTGGCGGCCAGGGCCTAAGTTATCAGGGCAATTACCCTGTTTTGACTGAAATTATAGGGTGTTTTTTCAAGGAGCCCTGATTTTCACAAGGTTTTTTTCTGGACCAGCCCGTAAAACTGAAGGGTGATTATTGAGTCAGCTCGGATCTCTCCGGGGAGTTCTCAAGGGGACCCGTATAATTTTAGCAGACATGTTCTCCCCGACCTGCCTTGCATTCCTCTCCGTCTCCCTCTAAACACACGTGGGCCACTTTTAGTGAATTTCCTAACCACTCTCTCCTTGTTGGCCTCCAAGTGTCTGATTGCCCTGTTCTACGTCGACATGGCTTAGAAGGCCAATAAGGAGAGAGTGTCTGATTGCCCTGTTCTCCCTATGTACTCTTCCTCATCGTATTTTTTTCGAAGTCTACAATAAGTATCTCGCTCACCCCTCCAGAGCCACTCCATCTCCAATCTCCCCAGCCCTCGTGCAACCCACTGTGAGTTTCCCGCGAAATTCTGGTAATGCATGTTTTCAGGCCTTTTCTGGCTCGAACCCGGATTCGTCAAGGTTTTTTTTCCGCTGGCTCGGATTTTACAGGGTCTTTTTCACAGGGGCCCGGATCGTCCGAGCTAGCAAAAATCCTTGCAATAGCCCTGGTGGCGGCATCTGAAATTACTGTTCTTTTAGGTGGCAGATATGTCGGTTGGGGTTGGGGGTGCTGTTAAACGATAATTCGATATGCAAAAAAAAATATCAGATTGATCCACCGATCAAGCTACAAGAGATACAAATGAACAAACATTGCAATGCCCACCCTAAAGCTTGCTTGAGAGATGGTGTTACATAGGTAATTAATCCATAGTAAGCAGCACAGAAAAAAAAAAAAGAATCCAGTCCAATTCTTCCGGTGCTGCTTGTTAAGGCGAAGCCCTGCACGCACCAGGGTTCACGTGTACAAGCCTTATGCAGAGTAGCGAGACTTCGCATACCGCTGCCGGTTTTGCTTACCGCATACCTGTGTTGTGGACAGGGCTGACGTTTCAAATTTGGGTACTCTGAGGGGATGGATTTTTTTTTAATTTATTTATTTATTTTAACACTGAGGGGTGTTCGGCCAGATTTTGACCACTCTGATGGCTCAGTTTCCATGGAAGTCCTTCACTGATGTCACATGGTTGAGTAACTATGATCAGCGTCTTGTTGCTACAATCTTTTTTTAACACATGCATGGTCCACACTGCGGGTTATGCAATACACAGCACAGCACTAAGAATCCTACTCTGTCAGCTTGTCTATGTGATACATCTCCTCCTCTCCCTCCTCGCCATCCGACAGAAAGGGGTTGTCTTCTTCCTCTGAGTAATCTCGGGGCGGCGACTGCTCAATTTCCTGATCCATCTCCATGTTGTCGTCACGGTCGTCGTCTGACTCAGCGAACTCCTCCTCGCCCGCCGGCTCAATAGGTTCCTCCTCCTCATCCTCCGGCTCCTTCTCCTTGCGCTTCCGATTGTCTGAGGAGAACAAGACGCTCTGCGCAGGACGCCTCTTCTTGAGGCTCTTCCAGGTATCAAGCACCCCAGGCCAGTCCATCACGTACTGCAGCAGCGAAATCTGCATCAGCTCCCCGAGCCGCGCGTTGCAGAGGGACCCGCGGATCCACGACTTGATCACGTTCTGGCGCGAGAACCCCCGCTCGCACTCCACCGTGGATAGTAGCAGGACTGCGAGAGCCTGCCAAAGCAGCAGCAGGTTGGGCCATCGCCTGCCAAGACAAGGAGCAGTAGTTTTGCAGGTGCGTTAGTTTGCAAAACAAGCTTGTGGCAAAAACATTCTCGGTCAACATACCTCTTGGCATCGCCGCTCCCCATGAAGTTCGCCAGGCCCTGCGAAAATGACTCGTCCTCGTGGTGCGCCTCCATGATTGGGCACCAGGTCGCGAGCTCCTGCGAGGCCTTCTTGAGATCAAACCCCCGGAGCTTGTTCTTGAACAGGGCGCTGCAGCCTGTCAGCCAGTCCTGGCACTTGCGGTCGCGCACGTGCTTGCTCTTCGGCCACTTTGACGCTCGAAACAGCTTCGTTGGACCCATCCCCTGTCAAAAAGACTAGGCAAGAATGATTGAAAGGAGAGAGGTTTCACTAGCAGCAGTTGGGGTACATATAGCAAACCCTAACTGGGTTGTACTCGCTATAGAGCACCCCACTACAGGCTAGACAATAATAACATTCTGACACACCCCCATAGCCAAAGTGGGGTGTAATCAGTACAATGAGCAGGCATAGCAATAGTTCACAATTATAAGCAAAGCTAGAGGTGATCATAGAGGGCAAGTGAGGAGGAGGAGAAACTGTGAGGGCGAGAAGATGAAAGGCGCCGACTGAAGCTGCAGACACACGGGCAACAGGAGCGGCGCGCACAGTGGCTACCGAGCGCACGAGGGCACCGGACTACGGGAGTATCTGGCTCCGCGGCTACGACGAGCACACACAGGAGCAACGGACCCACAGGCGACTGGCGAAGCAGGCTCGCTGGGCTACCGAAACGCGCGAGGGCATCCGGACTACTGGCGCTGCTGGCGTCACGACGGCTACCTCCACGCAACCTCCCCCGACCGTCCCACGCCCCTCTCACACACCCCCTGCTGACACCCTAGCTCCACTTCCACGGCACCCCCCTTAAACCCTAAACCCTCGGCTCCCACACACCCACCCCCCTCAGCGGCAGCTGCAGCAGTGGGAGACGGAGGAGGAGGAGGAGGAGCCGCAGGTTACCCACACCGGTCACCCCCATGCCCGCCACCCCCAAACCCTAACGCAGGCAGGAGCGCGGGAAACAGCAGGGGCGGGGCACGGAGGGAAAGGGAGGCAGCGGGGTGGCTCTTGGGCGCCACGAAGAAGCAGGGCGCGGGCCCCCCGAGGGCGCCACGGCGGGTGACGGGAGGGGGGCCGCGCACGGGCCCCCGAGGGCGGCTCGACGGGCGACGGGAGGGGCCGCGCGCGGGCCCCCTAGGCGCCGCGACGAGGCGACGGGAGGGGGCGGCGCGCGGGCCCCCAAGGTGCCGCGACGAGGCGACGGGAGGGGGGGGACGCGCGGGCCCCCAGGGCGCCGCGACGAGGCGACGGGAGGAGGACGACGGGGGGCAGCGCGCAGGTCCCCGGGGGCGCCACGACGGGCAGGAAACCGCCGCGCGCCACGGGGCGCACGGCGGGCAGAAAACCGCCGTACGCCCTGAGCGCACGGCAGGAAGAAGACGGCGCGCGCCCGAGGCGTGCGAGAAGCAGAATAGCAGCGGAAGCAGTTAGGTGGCGGGCCCACCCACAGGATCGACCCAAGGGGGTCGACCTGCTCTGATAGCATGTTAAAAGAACTAGGCAAGAATGATTGAAAGGAGAGAGGTTTCACTAGCAGCAGTTGGGGTACATATAGCAAACCCTAACTGGGTTGTACTCGCTATAGAGCACCCCACTACAGGCTAGACAATAATAACATTCTGACATCCCCCGCAGGTCGTCCAGGCGAAACAGCAGACGGTCGACGACATCCTTTGCGAACTTGCGGCACATCTTCACGCATGCCTTGTAGCCGCTCTTGTACTTGTGGTCCTTCAGCTTCCTCTCGTGCAGGATGTACGAGTGGTTTACTGGGCGGCCCTCTGAATCCGCGCCTCGCACTTTGACCGCCTGTCCCGACTTCTTCCCATACAGCTTCAGGAATTTTGGGAGCCAACCGTTGCCAGCCCCACCGAAGTCCGCCTTCTTCAAGGTGCCTGTGCTCGAGGTCGTCCGTGATGGACTCGACGGTCTTTGCCACCTGGGTGACATCGACCTGCAACAACAACAACAGAATGTTAGTGCTAAATTTTTCGAAAGTCATGGCCATCCATACAACGACGCCTCACCTGCCGCTTCTGGAACGACCGGTTCAGATCGTTGAGGTCGCCGAGGATGTCGGCGAGGAAGAAGAGGCAGAACTGGAACTTGTGCGATGTCACTGTCTCGTACAAGTTGTGCTCTTTCTCGTGGAAGAGAATAATCGCGGCGCCTAGCACCTTGCACAGTCGCTTCACCGCGTCGCCCCGGGACAGCCAGCGCACGCTGTGGATTCCCTGGACCTCGAGATTTGTGTTGTAAATGACGCGCTGCAGGCACTTGAACCGCTGGCTCCAGTGGCTGGAGGCGCCCAGGCGTTCAGCAAGCGTGCGCACCACGGTGTCCACCATCGCCAGGTCCGGATTTGAAGCTGCCGCGTCCTTCACCGCCAATGCCTCCCAGCAGTTCAGATACACATAGTTAGATATCTGCATGTGCTTTGTGGTAAACCGAAAGAGACAGTACTTGATGGAT